TTGCGACGAACGAGGAATCCAAAAAGCATCTCGAAAGAAATTTTTTTAAACGTTTATAAAAACGCAGGTTATTTTATCATTTATCATTTTTCATGTATCGTCGAGCGGCTGATAAGGAACGAGGTACTACTTTTGCGTTTGAATGTTTGGTTAAGTGCTGTACAAGCATCACCCGCAATTTCAAGCATTATTACCGACTTATGAATCGTTATCTGCCTTGTAAACGAATGGTTCGATACCGATCGTATCTTGAGCTCAAAATTAACGATTGCGATAATAATCGGCCAAGAATCGACGATTTGTAAGATACAAAGAAACGAACGTGTGTACAAGGTATAAGAAAAATTTCGCGTTGGCACAGCATAATGTTCATAGAAGCATTTTGAACACAATTAAATAATGTTTGCGTTGGTGCTTTCCGAAATGGCGATCTCAGAGCAAAACGTCTCGCTGAGAACCGTTTGTCTTTCGTTGATACATTTCTTTTGCAGCAGTCGCCCGACACGAGACATCGAGGCGACTCGCGAAGCTCTTAATTGTCTCGTATATTCCATTGTTACGTACGCCGCCCATCAAAAGCGTAAAACCGCTCGACTTGTTGCCACTTTTCATGAAACTTTTCGCAGAATGGCTCGCTAAAATTAAATCAGCGAAGGTCGACGCACGGCTGCGTTTAAAACAACCCTTAGACGAAGAGGTGCTGTTTATATGATCTAAAACAGTTTACAAAACGTAGACAAGCAATATGTGTATCTTAAGGCACGAATATGTCGTTCCTATTCATCGTTTATCATTTGTAATAAGGAAAGTTTATACAACAGAGGAAGGAGTGCTGTTTGTACAGTCAAGATTATTTTACGACAAGTGGACATGAACACAGTCTTCTCATTCGTCATCTATCATTGAAAAATAGATTTCTGTCCATCGTTAGACCACATATTCCACGCACGTTCTATTCTCGCATACAGTTTCCATATTTCTTTCCTCGACTCGACAGACAACGGACACTATTTCTCGCCAGAAACACGATCGAAACAGATCGTTTGACTTCCAGTGCTCCAAGCAGGTAGCTTGCTCTCTGTCGTGTATCATCGTCGTGGAAGAGAAATTCACGGTAGAAACCATCGGGGATCGCGAAAGGCGACGGTCGTTAATTTGTCTGCGAGTCGTTTCTAACGAAGTGTGTAAAAAGTGAAGGGCGTGCGTTTTCTCGCGAGCCCACGCGCGAGTATATATCGCGTCGCCCCACGTAATTCGTTCCTAATCAATTAGAACGGGATCCTGGCGTTGATTGGCTTGGTCTCCTTGTAGGAGTGAAGGCGATAAATCTGTCACGATAAATTGCGACGGCTGCCCTAGCCGTGGGTCAAGTAGTCACGATTCAAACTGTGCCGGTGAACGATCGGGCGAAAATAAAACAGATGTGTTACAATAGAGAGGGAACGGCTCTTGACACCCTGGCGGGTGGACCTTTTGTAATATTGGTCAATTTCGAGCGTAGTTTTCTTCGATCCCCGCTGGACCATTTTAATTGTATCTGCTTAAGTTGGTATCCTTAAGCATCATAATGTTTCTGCTTCCTATACGTGACGGTAGTCCGATGTTCATTCTTCACTTTATTAATACTCTGTTTTTTTCCAATGGAATTATGCAATCTGTTTACGTTGCATTGCAGTTTTAAAACTGGAGAAAAATACGAAACCTGCGTCCGGTATTAACGATATTCAGGGTCACTCCGTAAATAACTGCAATAAATGCTGCACGCTGTCGTGCTTGAATCATGCTTCTTACTCTTGGTCATGGTTTTAGAGGTACGAGTACTCGTTCCAGAGCCTTGAATTAATTAAAAACTCGGTTGAACCAAAATTTTGAAAATACTAGCGACCATATGATTCTTTCTTTTATGACATTCTTCAACTTCTGTTTATTTTCTATAAATTAACTTAGCAATTTTCGATACGTTAGGACGTTATGTGATAAAGGATGATGAAGCATTATCCCCAATCTCGTCCATTTAAATAAATAGAATAAATGAGTTTATGGATTATGGTGAATTAAATAAATGAATTGTAGTGGGTTGAAAATAAAAAATGAGCGGTGAATCTGGTGATCGGTTCGGAAGCGATTTTCAGTGATCCGTTGCCGGTACACGCGCCGGTAATCGTCGGCTTCCTCCGAGCAGGCCAACCACTAATTTAAACATGCGTAGGACTCGGTGTATTCGTGTACGTGTGCCTACGCGAGTGGAGAACGTTGCACCTGGAAGAAACGAGACGAGGTACAAACTGCTTGCGTTCGACCCTAGACATTCTCTTCTGTACGCATTTCTTCTACAGCCTCGACAACGGTAACGAATAATTAAGGGGCAAAATTCTAAAATTATTCTAAAATTATTTAACCATTTCATTGGATACGTGGATACTAACGTTGCCGTACTTAATGGCTTCTTCTGACTCGGAGTCATCATACGCGTATACGGACAGTGACCATTGAATCATTCAATTATTCCCGACTATATTAGGTATGCCTATCGCGGCGCGCTGGGAAGCGTTAGATTTTTAAAAATGGGATTCCTAATGCCATGCATCGGGAAGCTATTCCGGATAATCGATCGTACCGTTACGGGATGTCATTATTAAATAATGATTCAATTCACTCCGTTATCGAAAATAGAAAGCGGGAGAACGACTCAATTAAACCTTCTAAAAATTGAAAAAAAAAAAATCAGCTTATAGAGGATGACAATAACAGTTTATTCACACGACGAAATTCGACGAATACTTATCCTGAGCCGTGATTGTTATTAATATTTACAGCGAATACTAAATGTTACTGCATACGTTATAAATGTTTCATATTAATTTTAGTTGCATCTCGAAGTTTCAGATTGTCATTCTAATGGTTATCGAAAAAATAACATTCCCGATCATGAGAAGCATTAATTGTCGATTTGACGAATTTCAAAATTTCTCCGAGAATAATTTTCGAGGATATATACGCTCTTCGCAGTTAACATGTTGACTGCCAGACAAATATTCTTTAAAGTTTCTACTAAAATCAAATATTATCTAAACTATTCGAGACTGCATAATCAAACATTTATTGTCGTATTTATTCTTGTAATTTCATCAAAATTCATGAATTCGGTTTAAATTCATTTCCTTTGATGCTTGACATTCGGAATTAATTTGTTTAGTTCTTCAATGGAAAGCACTGTCGCCCACATGTGGGCGATCAACGTGTTAAAGGGTTAATGTCTTCGTACGAGTGCAAAGGTAATGTTAATCCAGCAGAAAAGGAGTGATCGGCATCGAATGGTATCAAAGGAACTACATCTGTTTTCCCATTGTACACAATCGCACGCGTGGCCGCTATGTCTGCCCGCAACACACGGTCGCTCGTCTATCGGAAGTCTAGGCGTGCGTGATAGATAATCGTTATGTAAGACGAGACTTCGAGGCTGTTGGCCTCCAAGGCTCATCGACGTGCACGTCGTATTCCAGTCACGGGAACGCCCTGGCTTCGACACGCTTCGACCCGCGGGCGAAACCGTCCGTGTTCTCCTTTCTGTATTTATGATCCAGATAAAGAAACTTTACGATTCCCTGGCCAGTCGAGGTGCAATCTTGACCAGTGAAAAAAAATCACCAGGAGGAGCTGCAGTAACGCGTGCACGCTGAGGGCAACGATTGCGCTCTCTCCGACTAAAACACAAGCTATAGCACTTTCTCCCCGTATTTGAATTTTTTTGGGGGGAGGTATAACTCCTTCACTTTGGAAGATTTCTTAAAGTTTGTTCTGTATTTGGAAGTTCAGACTTTGGGAAGTCGTGTGGCACTGATTAGTTGTGATAGGAGTAGATTTTCTTTTTATTTTGGAGAAATATTGGCTGTAATTATTATTATTATTATTATCTATTACCATTTTTCAGGATTTTGTTCAAATTTTGGAAAAATTATATCGTTGCATCCAGGACTTGTTATTAAGAAAACCCTGAAGTCTCCTTTGGAAAATCCTTCCGATCGAATTTTCGTGTTCCCTTATCATCTACTTCCTCTAATTATAATGCAGCCTTCACTATCCTCCAATGCCATTTAACGAATCAGTTCAAGTTTTAACACAGATTCCCCTCGAGCCGCGCCACGAATGTGCCCAAAGTGACGCAACACACGGAATTGTGTTAGAAGTTATCTAATTCGTTGATCGTTGCAAGAGTTGATCTTTCCTGCGACCAGTATCGCGTTGCCGCCACGGTCGAGGCTGATTCGAGCATTCGGCGGCTCGGTTCGCACGATTAAATTGCGACGACAAACGATAATTGTCAAGCCACAGGGAAGGGCGAAAGGATTATGCGGATAACTATTTCGAATAACAAACAATTAGACGAACAGTATTTCATTTTCTACTCATCGAATAAAATTTGTTTGACTGTTTCAATTTCAATCTGAGAATCTGAACGATTTTTAGGCTAAATTTAGATTGAAATTGAAGCTAAATATTGTTCTGCACTTGCATTTAAAATGTTTCTACTTAATTAATCGAATCTCAAGAAGACTTTTAGATGCACTACAGGTTCACTTCAGGAAGCGACTAAACAAAACTTAAATGTTAATAAACAAGCGAGCATTGAGAGACGCGCGAGTCTCTCAAGGAATTTCTCAGTTCAGCGGAAAGTGGGTAGGCAGAACTGATTCTTTGCCAATGGTATTTATATCGTCCCTATTTCACGCAGGCTCGTGTGATATTTAGAAAATGTTTCCTCGATAACATTGAAAAAAAAAATAGTTGTTTTTCCGAAGCCAGCTTCCTCCCCCGTGGATTCTATTCTTGGAATCGAATATTTTACGTTCGGAACATGATAGACTCGATCAGAAACGACCGATAAATTACTCGCGAAATAAAGTTTAACATATGCCGCTACCTGCTGACGTTATTTTACGACATTTTTATACCTACGACTGCCAGTCGTTGACGTGATACCACGTCGTTTCATATTTTTGGGGAGCCAGATGACTTTATGATTTATATTTAGGGTTATAGCACCTATTCGAGGATAGATCGATTTCAAAATTGGTATTTCGACAGAGTTCGAATCAGTTTTAGCAAAAGATCAAAGACATTTAAGTCTCTTTTGGTGTGAAATACAAACTTGAAGGGAATTTGCTCTCTTGTTTTAAAAATATAATGTCTTGTAATAAGCAGCACGATCATGGTATAAGAAATACAAAATAAAATGCTCAAAGAATCATTGATCCATTACATTCATGTACAATAATTATTTTTCACCCCACGACAGTTCAAGCTATTATTTCTTTAGTCTGTGTTCTTAAAATTAGTTAATTTTCACGGACGATGAAGTCGAACCTCGCCAACGACACTGTGATGGGTTAGTTTTGCATTTCCATTGAAATTCGATGATCGATATGGGCGCGATCGGTTCCGGGGGACGAATCATGGTGGTCATCACGCTCCATTTCTTGACCAATTGCTCTCGATGATCGGCTATGGTGAGCTCGGCGCCAAAAATAATTGCCAGAGCTCTGCGATTGCAAGGCAGAAGGCGAAACGAGGGCGTTTCTTCCTCTCTTCGTCTTCATGTGTACGTTTCGCGACTGCGTTTGCTTTCCCGATCGTCTTTCTTCTGTTTTTGTTGCTTGATTTGCTTGCGAGTGCCCATGGACTCCTCCGACAGCAACGTCGAATTCGAGGTGAGAGTGCGACCATACTTTCTCGAGGTCAGTATCCCAGGAACTTTTCGATCATTTTTAAAATACCCATCGCAATACAAGATTCAATAATACAATCACAAAAATACGCAAAATTGCATTTTGCTTTGTTTCGGTTTACATTCTCGATAACTTTTATTTTTTTAAAGTCACGATCAACGATAGTATACTAATTGATTATTTACAGCCACAGATTTAAATCATTTTTATTCGTCGAACACTCTTCTGTATTCGATATTAAATTCATTGAAATATTTATCGTTGGAAGTATTGCGGCGCCATTATTTTGTAGCGGTTGGTTGCGTCGTCGAAATGTCGACACGTAGGTCGAGATGACGACCATCATCCGCATTTCCTGCGCTCACTCTTTCTATTAGCATCGTGGCCGTGAGCCAACCTTGTGATCTCCGCTCAAATTTCTTCGCGATGTCATTAACGCGGGTTCATGTTCGCCATCTTGTTTACAAAGAAGCCGCCATCGTAGAATAATTAAGGATGATCGAGTTAATCGGCCAGGTAGCATACAAAGAGAATGCTTAAAAGCTTTGCAAATTTACACCTTAAACCTTCCATTTTTAAGTGCAACCAACATGAATTTTCTACAGCCACGTAGTTTTTATAATTGGAATTATTAATTATTTTCTACATGTCGAAACCATTAATTTTCCTCGCTTCTAATGATTGACAGACTAATGCCCCTAAGACCGAGCTTCGTATGTACCTTTAAAAATAAACGTGTTATCCAGGCGACCCGTTTTGAATGCCCCCACCCTGAGGAATTTTGAAGACTCATAAATAGAACGACGTTATTTCCATTCAAGGATGTTTGCAGCCCGATGTTACACAGTACGACGATCGGTGGACGTAATTCGAAGCTATTATAATAACATTGTAATGACGGTTGTCACTGCAGAGGCGAGGGGGAGGTAATAATACGATTGTGTGCTCGACGTACATCATAAGTAACAGTTACAGCGTCGAGGAGGCTTCTACTGTGTCTGTTTAGATTACGAGCGTCTTCTGCGCCCCCAATAGCATGCCATTTTACAAATCAAGTTCTTCTCGGTTCCAAATTTAATTAACTTTAACATTGTAAAATTGCTACATCCACATATTAACGCTAAACATATTCACATTTCATTTCTACCAACTGAAACCAACTTTAATCTCTCAACACTTATGCCTCGGCAATACTGATTTTTTATTACGATAACGCATTAAGCTAGATTGCTAAAATAACACAGGTTGTCGCGTCATGATTGGAGGAAGTCGCGGAAGATCCTTTGGACCGTTCGTTTCGCGTGTCCTCGTCAACGTCACCGGCGCCCATTCGTTTCGATTTATGCGCATCGCGCTCATCCCGCAGCTGTTTCTTCGGTTATTTTCGCAGGCGGATTAAATTAAACTCAATTGACTTTTCTTCCTCGTCTTTCTCCCTTTGGCTACGGTGTTAAGAAACAGCGTAATTCTATTCTGCGGCACCAAAAGCGTTCACCCTGTATTAAATGGAAACCAAGATTTACGAGCCGGATACCAGATATGGGGATGACTAAATTTATACACCGTATCGTGGATTCGATTCACAGTGTTTTCTCTGTATTCTAGAGCCACTCTGTAGATATTATTAATATAAATACGATAAAGTATTTATCTCCTCGCTATCGACAGATGTGCGACGACAACTCAATTCCGACGCGCCAGGGAGAAATCTAATAAGTGGGCTGATACGCAGCGGTATTACAAATACGGTATTTTAAGCTTCTCGATAATATCTAAGCAGTACGAAAGTGGAACCACATCCAAAGCTTCGTAATATCGAATTTGTGTAATATTAATTTTAATTGCATCTCTCAAAGAAACCACATTTTGCACTATAACAATTCATTATACCATTATTACATACTATGTATCCGTTATTTACCTTTGGGCATTTGGATAAACACTGTAAAATCAAACGATCGGATAGACGGTGCAAGATAGACACTTTGACAGGCACCACTGTATCAGACACCTGGACAGACACTCCAAGATAGACACTCAAAGCCTTCAAAGTTTTAGATACCACCTAGAAGATGTATTTATAAATTTAAACAAAAATAGAGATGAGGAAAGAGCCTCGAGCAAGTGTGTTTGTTTTTAAACAGGTTGTTTCCTTACTTTTCAGGCGAACAGCGAAAGTCGCGACCCGGAAGAACAGGGTAGCAGCACGACCTCGCCCACGGAGGGCAGGCACGCCGACGGGACATCCGGCTCGTCCGTCCTTGAGATGGGCAGCACAGACTCGGCGGGCAGCGCCCACGGCGGCGGCCCTTCCTGTGGCCTGGTCAGTTCGCTCTTCCCTAGCAGCTGTCGCGGACGAGCGGAAGCGTTCGCCAGACGTCTTCATCGACGGCTGACGTCTCTAGGTGGCGAAGAAGGATCACAGCGCAACCTGGACTCCTCGAAACCTAAAGAAACCTCCTGGCTGCGTTCTTCCTCCGCGGCCAAGCCAGCGATGAACAAAGCCTCCAACAACCACGTTCTTCAGCATCAGCCTCGTCACAGTTCTGAAACAGATCTATGCTACGATTTCGAGCTGGATCTCGACGATGGTCTGAGGTCACCTGCCGAGGAAGCCACGGCAGCCGAGGTGGCGGATCTTCTGGTAAACCACGAAGTGCCCAAGGCCAACCATTGCGATGCCTGCAATTGCACGCCCAATGGCTCTAAAGACCTAGAATCTGGCTGCCTCTTCGCGTCCCCCATGACGGGAACGTCCCCAGACAGCGACTCCTCAGACATCTACTTCGACCCAGAGTCCTCAGATCCAGAGAAAACGAAAAACGAGGTTTACTTCGACCCTATAACCACCTCCGACAGCGAGGTGACCTCGACCCTCTCCAATGGTTGCGAGACGACCAAGACCAAAAGCCTGGTGTATCGTAGGAGGCCAGAAATCACCGTGGCATATTCAGAGGACACCTCAGAGTCCAGCTCCTCGCTGAGAAGGAACAACATCGGGGACAAGGAGCTAAGGAAAGAAGAGCTGGTGTGCAACTCGGAGGACTCGAACGAGAGGAGCTCGTTGGAGACCACCTCGGCGAGTCACGAGTCTCTTTGGAGCACCTTCGACGAGAGCACCATGTCCTTCCAGGACGAGAGCCCCTCTAGACTCAGTCCTAATACGAGTATTCTTCAGAATCGGCTGCCTAAGTCGCATTCGGACTCGGAGATACCCGCTCACGGGGCTAGGATCACCCGCGAGCTGAGCAGGAGGGATGAAAGCACACAGAAGGATGACATTGACGAAGTGGACTTTGTGAATGGGATCATGGAGAACGGAAAGCTGGAGAACATCAAGAACGCCAGGAACCTCGCGAAAGAAGACTCCTCGGATACTTCGGAGAACACGAACGAAGATGACCTTCCACGCGATGAAGAATCTAGCGATCCTGCCACGCAACTGTCGAAGAACATGTCTACTTTGAAATTAGAGGACACAGCCAGCAACGAGTCGGGCGACCACTCGACGTACAGCAGTATGATCAACATCCCTGAAGCTCTAACGGTGGAGTGTTCCACGGGGGAGAGGGTGACGGAGACGACGCTGAAGAACGAGGTCCAGCTGCAGATCAAGAACGGAACCGTGACGAACAGCTGCGACGAAGACAAAATGGTTCTTCTCTTAGAGAAAATCGCCACCAGCCCCGCCGTCAGGGAGGACGTTCCTATAGCAAGCCAAGAATCTTGCGATGACGATATCATCGAGGAAGAGGAGGAAGAACGACCGCAGAAGATCAGACGTTGCTCCTCCCTGAAGACTGGAAAGACCCCTCCAAGCACGCCTGGGAGAAAGAAGATCGTTCGATTCGCAGATGTCCTTGGCTTGGACCTTGCAGACGTGCGGACGTTCTTGGATGAGATCCCGAAGATCCCCAACTCGGCTTACAGCGACCTGATCTACGACGATAGCTTCCAGAAGGACACCAGCCCTGTGAACAGCCTACCGAACACCTGGAACAACCTGGACAGCAGACGTTCGTCGTCAGCCTTTTCCCCTCGCAAGCTGGACAGAACTCTGGTACCTCTGTTCCAGCAACCAGGCGGCCAGGCGAACTTCCTGGACCTGGTGCGCGAGCGTCGCGTATGCCTGGAGAACGCCCTCGTCCAGGACCCCGTCTCCTTCTGCATTCAGGGCACGGTGCGCGTGATCAACCTAGACTTCCACAAGTCGGTGCACATCAGATACACGTTGAACTCGTGGCGGAACTTCAGCGACCTGCAGGCGACCTACGTGCCTAACTCCTGTGACGGTTTCAGCGATAAGTTCGCGTTCGTGCTCTATTGTCACACTCTGGCGGTAGGTCAGCGGTTGGAGTTTGCCGTGAGGTTTCAGTGCAAGGGCGAGCAGTACTGGGACAACAACGCAGGGGTCAATTACTGTTTCCAGTGTTTGCCAGCGTCGTCGCCGGTTGGTTACATACCGATCACGTCCTCTGACAGTCACCAACACGACTGGACGCCGATGTTCTACTGATGGACCCTGCTGTGGTTCGGTGTCTGCACGGATAGCCGCGACAGGGGAGCCTGGGGATGCTTTTCAAAGATGGGAGTCTGGAAAGGGCCCAAGACATAGGCAAGGGAGCCCACGGATCTAATAAACGTTCCTAATCGTGTACCTACTGTACAGAACTGTCCTACGAGTCGATGGAAAACAAGACGGATCGGAGTGACCGGGATCACGTACACACTCGCGTACACATCGACGTCAATTATTTTTTCCTGCCATTTTTCACGATGGGGCACCTCGAGTGGACTTGAGAGAACTTGACGGGACCGTTAGACTGACAAATTTTTACACGTTTATCGTACCATGTTTGCATAAGGAAGTGTACTGTTCGTACGTTAAGAGAATACGTCTGAGGGGGGCCTCTTCAGTTGCCCACGCTCGTTCCTAATGCATAGCTGAGTCGCTAGAAGACAGACCAGACTGGTGGGCTGCTCCTGAGCTCTATAGTTTTTCGATGCACATCAGTTTCTGACAATTAAAGCGGTTTTATTTTCTCAGCGTGCGAACAGTACATACTCGAGACAAACGCTTCAAAGAGTGAATCGACATGGAGAGTTCTACGCCTGCGACTTTCTTTCCGAGGGTTCAAGTTACCCGAGCGAGGAACGAGAGGATTCGGAGAACTTGAAGAGAAGAGATCCACACGCATCTAGGAGAGCAGAGATTATTATTTACACGTTCCTAGAAAGTACCTAATTTTATAAAGTCGAGCGTAACGAGAGATTCGCCGATGAGGGACAAGGATCTTGAGGATCGATAGGAGTGCTGTAATTAAGGAAAGTTGTGAGATAAACTGTTGTGAATGGTACTGTACTGCGGAGGTAAAGTTGGAAGCTCCTTTTTTGTCTAGTCGTGATTGCTTGTTTCATAGGAAACCAGATAAACAGAACAATTGAAAGTACAAGCATTGAACATTGAAGAACATGTTGGAGTTGGATCATCTATGGTAACTGGGAATATTATCCTGAAGGGATAAGTGCAAAATAAGTACCTCTGTAGAGTACACTTGGGTTTAGCAAAACTCTCAGGAACTATCAGCGTCTCCAGCGGAGGTCTCGCACGCATCTGCCTTGCGCACGTGCAACACTTGGGTGACTTGCTCCTCCGCTGATGCCGCTGGTACTCACATGCGAATCCAAATGTACTCACACTAGTAGGTGGTCCAACTCCAGAACCAAAAATTTTAACATTCGTACTATTAATCGTTCTGTTCATTTTGTTTCGAACACTGACAACGACTTCTCGACAAACTGTTAACGCCTGCAAAAAGAAAATATTTTTTTATCCATCGACGACGTAACGAACAAACTGATCGATCAGTTTGGTCTCACCTATGAAAGTTTGTTTTCACCGATAGTGTCTCTACGTTTTCACTTCGATCGATGAGAAAAAGGTGACAACAGTCATCGAAACTTCTCAAAAGCTTTTTCTCTGTTCGAAACGATAGTGGTCGACCTGTGCCAATCCGATCCAGTGCCATCGTACGACGTGTCTATTATATCATATATTAATGCTGGGATGCCAGAACTGCGACGAAATTTATTTGCAGCTTTCATATCATCGATTCACATTGTCCACTTTCTTTTATTGGGCTCGAATGATTTTAACTTTCTACATATATCATTTTCTGCGTAACTTATTGTTTTATCCTTTGACGTCTTCGTTGTAGAGATTTTATTCCGGATTCGAATATTTGTATGTCGCAGTCAATTTACAGATAAGAATTGCTTTTATTTGTAAGTATTTGATCAGATAAAAAAAGAATGAGCCATTTAAAATTCATCCCTCAAGAGGTTAAGATCTTTGAGTTTTAGCTGGAAGGGGGTCATACCGTGAATGTCGCGTATTCATGGTAAAAAATTTCGCGCACGTTTCTGGCCAGCCTTCTGCACGAAGAATGAATGACGAATGAATTGCTCGCGCGATACTGTGCGAGTGGTAGTGATAGCGTTGTCAGCGCGATCCAGGCTGGCGATCGATCGAGGTCTAAATTAAATTGTCGACAAATGGAAAAGAGTGATTGAACTCGAACGGCGAGTCCTACAATGTCAGTGAAAATTGAAAGCATACAAAGGGAAAGAAAGTCCACGCTTCATGAAACCTTAGAAAAATAAACGAATTCGATTGAAACGAGGATTGGACACGGAAGAATTGATTCAAAAGGTGGATAATCTCTTAAAGTTTTTCTAGAGAATCGCTGATCCCGATTACGTTGCCTCGTGATAAGCAATAGACTGTAATAGCCACGAACCAGTACTAATTCTAATAACGCTCGGTGAAACAATCGAAACACGAAAGTTAAACAGCCTCGATAATCGATATCACGAGATAGCACTTCTATGGAAATATCCTAATATTTTGTAAAAGTTTTCTTCACGAACGATTGCTTTTATCGTCGCCACTTAATCTGAAACGGCTGCGAAAATGATTAATTAAAATCGGAAGTAACTTGGTGCAATAAAATGCAGTCTCTTGCGGCGTTCCTCCGTCGTTGCAGCGTTGGGCAAAATGTAATCCACGATTATGGTTACCGAGTAATCAGTAGACTGTGAACTTTATGCATTTATGGCGTGTGCTAGTATGGAAAATAATTTAAAAACATACGTAGACGAATAGATCACGAATTAATATTGTAGTATCGATATTTTATTTTGCACAAGTACATATATATTCTCCATATGTGTGTTTGCAGCTGTTTTTCATACATGGTAAATACGACAAATGCAGCGTTCGAACGCCTTACTAGCTTCGAAAGGTTACGAATTACTGATTACGAATGTAGTTTAGAGATCGCACAGCAATCACAAAGCAATCACAAAGTAATCACTGCCCAACTCTGCACTATTGAAATTTCTGCACTTCGACTGAATAGAGAATCGTTGGAATTAATTTGAGGCAGCCACCGTTATCGAGGCCTAATATTCATACTATTCAAGTGTATGTTATTCAAATCCAATGGAAGCCTTCTCTGGTTACTCTGTGTGTGTGGATATATATTTACATGTAAAACAAAGCGGATTTCTATTCTGATTAGCAAACATATTCTTCCACACGTTGAAAATGAGGTTATCGAAATTATTTGGGACGAATTAGTTTTGTTAATCGTCGTCCACGAAACACTATAACTGCTGGTCTCGAACGTAGAAATATTTGTTGTTTTTTTTCTAAGCTGTGTTTAATTTAATCTGTTTCATATTATGTTTTGTTTTTAAAAAGATTGCTTATGAATTTAACATTTGTTATTCGTTGTATATTGAGATTTATATCTTTTCCATTAATCAAGTTGATCATTAAGCCTTCTAGTCTTGCGAATCAGCGAATGCTTATTTATAAGGTGAAAATACGAGGAGCACAAGAAAATGCGTACTCGTGATAAAAATTGGTAATCGTCGATCGTTTTCGTTCTCCGTTCGAGGGAAACGTTTCTACGTTCGAGACGAATAATCTAACGGAAAACCATAACCGCAACGGTAGTATATTTTTATATGTAACGTACACGTAAGCATATACGTCGCACCTCTAGTCCGTAGAGCCGTGAGCTTTCGTCCAATTGCCGAGCCTTTTGCAGTTTTTAATGAAACAATGAGGGAAAAAAAATGGACAAACGAGCGTGAAATCTACAATGAATAAGAATTACGAGGGAAACAACGAGAGAAAGACTGTGCGCACGTGTGAGAGTGTGATTGCGTGCGAGAGTATGCGAGAAAACGACCAAAAGAGCGCGTGAAAGCGTTGATAAATGTGTCTGTTCAATTAAAACGGTTTATTTTTACTTCGTAACTTTTAATTAATTTTAATCCGCGTTTACACTATTCTTTTAATTCTCATATGGATTTTTAGCGATGAAATTTTATGTTTTGCTTTATTTCGGCTGTGAAACAAACGGATGAACGATCAGCGACGGACGGGCTCCGAGAATCGATCAGGAATTGTTTTGCGAGTTATTCACGTTATAGTGCTGTTGTTTGCTTTCGTCTATTTTGTTTCTAATTTTGTCTTTTTATTCGAATGTAAGGTCGTTCTTGCTTTTCCAAGCACCAAGGAAAAGTAACAAGAAGAAAGCTCTTATTCAGAGCTCCAAAGCGTGTATCTATGTTGATATAACAGTTAGAGAGTAACGAACCCATTAAATTTACCTGTTGTTGAGAGTTTGAGAAATATTTAGAAAGAAACGTACGCCAACGAGTCGCGTTATGGATTTTACAAACGTTACTTGTATACCATTGACAGATTATTACGTAGGCTGCCGTGTGATTCGATTTTTCATCGCAAAGTACATCGATTCTGTGGGATATAATTTTTCAATTAAAGTTATTGTTCTCGAGAAAAATGCCCTCGAAGATCGTTGATCGCAACTGCGGTGTCCATGCGTTAGTAACAACTTTCGATGTATGATTTCTTCGAAAGGATGCCTCGTACGAGAAGAATGTGTTGCACGTTTTCGATGTATTTTTGACGAGGAATCGCCTCATGTTCGATGTTGGTACGAATCACGGCGCATACCATATGTTGTTCCCTGACACGAAACGATAATACTCAACGGTGGACTGCAAACTTTGTGCACTCGTGGTAGATACGAAAAACACGTGATTCATAAATTAATACAATAATATTTATACAGATATCTTTAATTTAACGTTTCGACTCATTGTTTTACACATCAATTTAATTTAGTAAGAATACTTTAGGAATATCTGAATCGATATTTCATTTTCTTAGCACGTGTTTTTCATTTTTGCAAACGCGACAAAAGACGCGCAAAATCTTCAGTTCACTCATCAGAAACGTATCGAGATTTGCAGGTGAGAATATTCTAGATTATTTAGGGTATTTTGTTCGTGCAACTGGCGATATGTTACACGTCAGTTGTTAAACGAAAGACTATGAAACAAAAGTGCAATGTTGAGTTTCAATCGTGAAAAACTGAATGTCGCACGGAGACCATTACTGATATAAAATAATCACGGTGTTCGATTCTTTATTTTCTTGTTTTTTCTTCTTTTTTTTTTTATTGGTCGAAGACCACGGTACCGACAATTGCACCCACACCGAAACACCTTTCCTCTTTAAATCCGTGCGAGATTCTTCGCATAAATATAAAGAAAAAGCAAGTGTTTGAAACATTCTTCATTATCTACACACATTCTTCGCACTGTGCAAAGTGAACAATGTTTAATCGAGAATTGTACCCATACGTACACGCTTATTTATAACACATACGTTCGTCGTAAAAGGAGGATACTAATTCATTCATTTCGCGCGCCGTGGACTTCAACTTTGAATTAAATAAAAAAAAAAAAAAGAAAGAAGAAGAAACAGCTATTCTACTGTCTACATTTGTTTTACAATACTCCACGAAACTGCGTATGAAATATATATATATTTTTTTATACAGTTTCTTTCATCGTTGTTTTTAATCTATTTAATCATTTGTACGTCGCAGAAATTTGATCGAAGTCTCATTGTTGTACGAATCATTGTTAACCGAACCATTCAGGGGCCAATTCGCAACTCCATCTGTTTCACAAATTTAAACTATAAGAAACAATTGTTAGACTTGTTAAGGATCGAAAACGATTACTTCAAGAGGCCTTTCTCTTCTTTTAATTGTTGCACGGAATATCTTAAATTGTTGTTATCACGAAAACATATCTATTTTTCTATAATCGAAATGTTTAAAATGTCGAAAAATGTAGCAATTCAAACCTGGAAAATGTAATATGGAAAGGTGGCTTATACACCTGCGCCATTTTCATCGCAAACATCAATTGTAAAATAATCTTTCCTAAACGACATTGTTCATACATCAAAATAACCCTTTACTGTTTAAAGCACCCACTCGAAAATGTGGTATAAACAATCGCTGTACAATTAACCAAGGAAATGATTTTATACAGAAACCATCTAATAGCTGCATCGACTATCTATTATTTAACTCTGGAAATTAATTAATTCATGGCCCGAGTAACTAAGGATTCTACAAACCAAAAAAGTAGCGTGGTAGAGGGTTAATCGAATTGACTTCTGAATAGGTGTTCCTCCGCAAAAGAAAGCAATGTCACTTCAGACTGATACAACGATCACTATGAGCTATACTTTTGCTATAAATGGAACGGCGAACAGGTTGTAGCCGCTCAATGACGAACCACGCAGCGTTCGATTAATTGTTTCCTTTTACCTTTTACTTCTCATATTTTTCTTTTTGCCCGTTAAGTGTCAATCGTTGGCGAGACTATTTTTAATCTCACTGTTTGTTGGGATGTTTTTTTTTTTGTAGTTAGATAAGGTTTCGCGTTTATTGTTACACGATCGCGTACGGCGTGGGTGATAGCGTTTAAGACTTTATGAGAGGCAACGTGTTTGCGCCAGCGTGGGAGCGAATGATGATGGAGGAATGAAGTATCTATACGTATAAATAGACGTATATAATGTATCTGTAACTCATGTTCTATATGTTATTAAGACAATAAATGGAAGACCGATCGACCGTTCATTTTTCTATCCTTTCGGAACGTCAACAGGAAGAACAAACCTTAGACACTGTTTGGGCCAAACCAGCGTATTGCGATCATGGTGACGGACACTTTCAATTTGGGGATTTTCATGGTTTTCCCTTTTTCCAACTTTTATAAATTGTAATGGACAAAAGTTTGAAATTTACGTGTATGTAGATTTATCGTGATGGAAATCAGTAACTTGAAAACATAGAGGGTTGGTAATTTAGCTTAATAAAATGACGAGTTAATATTTTTGTTTAATTACAGTCATATACGATCGAATGCAAAAACACAGAATTAATTTCTACGCCTAAAACAATTAAATTATCTCGTCATTTATGTAACTAAGAAACTTTCAATCTTTTTTATAGGCTCGAGCAATCGACAGCGATACTGGAAAAAGGATAGAAATTCTGAAAACAAGATTATAAGAATTCCGAGTGATTCAAGGACGATGATACGATATGGTGCGAAAATTATTATTGAACAAAAGATGGTAGTTCAGACGATCGAAGTTCATATTTTTTTAAAGTGAAATAATTTATGCATTACTTATCTGTAATTGTGACACGATAATCAGAGGTCGCTTTAAACCTTAAGTTTATCATTTGGTAACGGAGGTACTCGGCGATTTTTGTAAAGCGCGCGCGGTATCAATGTTTTCTTCGCGGTGTAATTTCTGTTTTAGCTTTTTAACTCTATCGAGTAGCGTTTTAAATCGCCTGACGGTGTTGATACAAGTCACGTGTCGAGAATAAAAATACATAGTTCTCCGCTTGAAAGATTTCACCCCCTCGTGGCCCCTTCGTTTTCGATACCTAAACAGTTTCAGATAATTTATATTCATATTGCAATACTCCACTTTGTTTTTCTCTGATAGATTATTCTTTGATTTTGCAGCGTCACGATAAAGCTGTTGTAAACAATCAATTGAAAGTTTTAAATTTGTTTGAATTTTCGAATTTTATCGAACCTATTCTTCACAGTTTAAGAAGTTGCTAGTTATTGATATTAAAATAAATTTCCAAAACGTAAGGAATTAATTCTGTGACAGAATAATGACAATGTTTGTGTTTATATTGAGAATTGTTTAAATATCAATGCACTGCTATTGGTGCAATCATCTTCACGAAAGAATGATGCAGCGAACAGCTCGACATAATTGAACTATACTATAGTATTTGAACTATACTTTTCATTAGGCCAAGATTCCTCGTTTATTTTTAGAAGATCTAATCGTGTCAGAACTCGTGTATCGCATTTGCCATTGTTTTGCATTGCACAAGCGTCGCCACGCTTCAAAACTTGATCTATCGGTGCATTCTATATATTCGATGAAATTTCATTTCCAATGTTATTATCAGACTTTGATTATATTAGAATATATTATTGTTACTTTTGTATTTTGTATAAATGTATAAAATTCGCAGCATAGTCACTAGTAACGAGTAGTACAATGATAATGACTCATTACTCTCTATAAATGTTCATTTTTCATATTTTATAAGTCATCTGTCTCAAGATTATTAGCAAACGTATGGCGTGTAAATAAGGAACGGATTCGTTCACCAGGTCCAACGAATAAAAGACACGCGTCATTCGAAATGGCAGGTGTTTATTACGAAAAAAATGGAAACAAGTGGACATTAAAAAACGGCTTAACTCGATGTTAAAAAAGACGGCCGAGAAACAGAGATGGGCAACATTTTGATCGAATAACAAGTGACGATTTATTTAATCAAATAGTCACTCAGGCAAGTTTTCGTTTCATACAAAGAAAAAGCTGTAACCTTTCATTTGTGATTCCAGAATTTTCGAATGATCTATTCGCGACGTTTGTTCGATTAAATAATGAAAGTTTCAAGTTATAATTTATATGGAACCAGCAACGACTGTAAATGTGCTTCATCTTTCATTTGTTATTCGATGTATTTTCGGATAAGAATTTTGCCTATCTCTGCCTGAAAAGCAGTATACCCTACGGTTACCCTGTGTGTTTCTTGCGTCGCGATTAGAATCAAGTACCCCTCGACAAAAGCAGTGTCTGCTGTCCCTCTGGTCAGTCTTTGAAGTTTAGAATCACTGATATTACAAGAAACAATCCAAAAGTGCTGTGTCGTGTCCAGGAACACTTGAATTCACGGCGACGAAACGGTGGCTTTACAACAATATAAATAAATACAGCTAATGCCTCGCATCGTAGTTATTCGTGGGTCTAATTAATTTTCCAGCGATCGCGTCGCTGTATCCTTAAATTACACGATAACACCCACACACATATATGTATATATATGCATAGGAAAACGATCACAAATGAAGACGGCACTGCGAGTGTTCCGTTCGTTCGAGTTCGAATCACTCTTGCGAAACTCGATTTATATTGCTTAATCAAAAGATTGGCTCACTGAAACGTTGATCCTCGTCCTCTCAGATCCTTTTTCGTGATCCTGAACAACTTGATTTATTCTGAAGATCAAGAAGTCCTTGGCATTGAAGGATCTTCGCTTGGAAAAGACATTTATTACTAGTAACCCTTTTAAAATTACAGAAATCAAATTTCGACTCGAGTAGAGTAAGATAAGATTTTTAAATTCATCCTCGTTCGATTAACCTTCGTGTCATGTTGCCATCCCTTTCTCAAGTAACCCTCTCCAGGGTTCCTTTCCGATCTTCTTCTCTAGTTGTTCTCGAGTGTTTGCAGAGCTCTCGAAGCATTTCTTTCTCGAGTGCAACAATTCTTTGAATCTGCCTCGAAGGATCTCTCAGAGAAAAATAATCATTCAAGTACCTTTGCAAATGCAGAAAACCAATTTACCGAGACAGATGAACTTTCTAAATTAAACCCTGTTCGATTAACCTTTTCTTAACGTTGCCTTTTCTTTCTTTAGCTCTCGAAGAAATAGTTTCTCTTCTTCTTCATCTCCAGACGGTCGGGGAGAGTTCCAACCATTCTTCTTCGACCTGTTTACACGTTCTTCGTCAATTTGGACAAGAACGAGTAGTCCAATCTACAAATTGTTGCTTCCCAACGCCAGGGTATTCTTGTTCAATTTCAAAGCCCTCAGTTGCTTGTACAGCCGTTGCTTGCAGAATTGGTAGAACTCGATTTCCCGTGTAAAGTTGCTGCGCACCATTTCCTTCACCTCCTCGGTAACTGGCGGCTTGAAGAAGTTCCGGTTGATTCTCTTGAATGAATTCACTTCGTCTGAAACGAAGGAAACAGGCGTGAGCTTCCTTTTATGGATATATCCATCCGCTATGTGAGAATTCATCATATGAATTTATTATACTATTTCACCATATGAATTCATCGTATTAATTCATTACATGAATTCATCGCATAAATTCGTCATACGAAAGAATTACCATAGTAGACGTCGGTGGCGCCTTGGAAAAATCGCGGTATGTAGTTCTCCAGCACCGTGAGAGTGGTGTTCACGTCCTCCAGTACGCCAACAACCGCATAGTGTTTCTCCACAGCCAGTTTCGCCCGTTCCAGAGCACCCACCGTGTTGAATGGACTTTGAGGGAGAGAAACAACCATTTAATACAATGCACATTATTAAACGCAACGCGTGCCTTGCAGGAAACTATTCCATTTTTCTGAATCCGTTATAACATTAATTATTCTGCTCCTATCTTAGATAATAATATTAGGTTGTCCCAAAAGTTTCTTCCATTTCATTAATAAGTAATACATACACAATATTTTATGTCTAATATTACATTATTAAATTGCGTACGATTCATTTTATTTTGCTCCATTACTGTTACAACATTAACATCTAAGAAATTAGGTTCTTTATTTCTATAAACACTGCTACACAAAACAACTGAGTGCAAGTCACGAAAGAAACTTTCGGGACAACCTAATAATTACAATCAACAATATCTGCAAACTCTCCATGTAATATCTCTGAAATAAGTCTAAATTCTTGAAAGATTATTATATCGACTTTAAATTTGAATTGTTCTTCCTTTATTGCATAAAGAAATTGAACACGTAGGAGTCAGGTGTTTGGCGCGTCCCCAAACAACTCCGCTAGCTTTCCTTTGATATTTCTAGAGCTTTTATAAATCCCAGCTTCGGGTTTGCACGCACTCGCGGGAAGCTTCAATCTCCTGGACACCTACGTGCATTTCTCGCTGTGCCCGCAGAAGAAGAGCGTCTGTCGGCGATGATCGCCGATCCCCTCGTGAATTTCACCCTCCAGGTATCTGCATTCGCGGTCCGCCTTAAGTACACAGGTCTCGAAGTCCTTCTTCAGCCAGTTGGGATCCGGCAGAGGTAGATCTGGAAATATTTGCTTTCTCTCGACGTAGTACCAAGGGGCTCGCACGTAATAATACCAGGATATCACTCTCTCGATGGGATCCCGCACTATATTGATGTAAATTGGTTGAGGCAAGTTGAACCTGAACGGGAAGAAACGTCAGAAATCAGATATACATTGCTAAGTATCCAACATCAAAGTAGGTAGGTAGGTAGGTAGGCTCTAGGTAATTTGTTTCCTTATCAGAAATTTCTGTTTCTTTTGTCCAATCACAGACAATTTCCACGCTTGAGGTATAATGCAGGTCTGCGTGCGTATACTGATTTAAAAAATTGGTAGATTGGTATCCCACATATGTTACTGTTATTCCAGGAAATTTAAAAATATTTTCTTGGACTGATAAATTAATTATTTTTTTAGGGCCGATTCTCTTTTGCAGCGATGACAAGGAAAGGGGGTTACTTACTCTGTAAAGTTGGTGAAGCACACGTGCTTCACGTACACGGATGGCTCTGAGTAGCTGCTGACCATTCTGGCAAGTTGGAGCTGGATAGTAGTAGAAAAGATTGAATAACAATATACTATTGCATTATTACTGATTGGTATAAGACTGAAAAGTAGTAAATTTCTTTCCGATGACGTTGTCATACCTGTTCGATCGGCGCGATACGTATCGTCTCGACTCTTTGCACGCGATCTCGGTTGAAGGAGAAGCCATTCCTCATCGAAAGCCTCCTCAGCAGCTCCATGAAGGTCTGGGAGCCCACTTTTGGCACACGATTGAAGAACAATACCTCCCTGCCCGCCCTCTTCGTATTGTTTAGCGCGTCAATGTCCAGCACTTCCGGTTTGTTGTACTGAAATCACATCAGTCCCCCTTAAAATTTCCATTGGAAAATTGTGAAATAAAACTTCGGGTTTTGATCAAGATTTGTCGCTGTCCAAACGATTTTCGAAGACAAAAATAACGAGGCTTTATGTTCCATGTTTGAATTTTATATGTTCACCTGGGAGTTTAATTTTCAAGTGAAAATATTTGTTTGAATTATAAGTTTGCACGATCCGCGATGAGCGCAGATACGGTTCATTGAAGAGGATAGTAAAACGGAAAGTTGCCACGACCTTAATCTGCTGCTTTTTGCCTGTGGAGAGTTCACCTTTGGTTTAAGTTTTCATTTTCTACGAGGAGCGATGGGAGAATCTTTCCCATCTCGTTCCCTCTAGGTGAATAACTACAATATTAGAAATGTCGGCGAGTAATTCCAACAAGGAGCATATGGCGAACAGGCATGCGTAAATGAGAAGTACTGGGTAACAAATACCTCATTTCTCCTTCACTTCCGGATTGCTTTTTGCGATCCACGCATTTATCCCGTGTTCGAACGATCGAGGCAGGCTTATGTGTACCAGTGACTTTTAATCGGAATCATAAATGTATGTTCTGGTTTAAATATTTTATTTTATTTTACCCTCTACTTTAATTTTACTTTTCCTAATTATTTGTCTGAAGATTTCTTTAAAAATAAACATTTTATTAATTCTTCCCAGATATGGAGATGCAAGGGGCTTGCAATGTAATGATTTTGTCATCACAAGTCTATTATATTAATTTCAGAATACTGTTATTATACATTACATTCGTTAAAGGCATAGCGTATATTTGAATAAATCTAGTTTTCATTTCAGTTGAATGCATTTAGGTCTGTTAATTTAAGGAAGAGCTCCACGGATGAAAGCGGATGATGTCTCTGGAGCGAAACAGTTTGTATAATTAATTCACATCCTTATTTTTAATTTCCACTTATCTCCGTCACTTTTCAGTTGTCATCGCAACTCAGCAGCAATTTATCCCGATCCCGTTAACTTCATATTTGCCCTTTAACTGGTTTGTCATAGTTTTATTGTACACGATAGAGTTAAAATATATTTGCATAAACAATTAGTCCACTGGTGCTATCGATGTAGATTGGAATAGAAGATCGATGCACTGCAACGGTGTATTATCGAAGATACTTCGACGTACCATCGCGATTCTATTTTAATAACATCTGGTTGGTTCGGTAGGACATTTTTATTTCGCGATGCGGAGGATTCCTTCCTGTCCGCGTCACGGGGCTCAAGCATTAAGGCACAAGTACGTTCCATTATTGCATTATTACTACACGCGTTTGCACGCTTCCTCCTCGATTACGGATACCCCCCCCCCCCCTGTTTCCTAGCCGCCTTTCTTCCTTGGATTCTTCGCGAAGTTACGATCCATCCTTCTGCCGGCTGCCCCACGGTATTAAAGGATTGCGACGTAATTTGCTTCGCGGTTATCTCCGTAATACCGAACGTTGCGAAGAAAATCCTTCCGTTAAGCCCTTGCTCGTTTCCCGATAACCGTAAGTAGCGATGGGAACGAGCTGATCGTAAACAGAATCCAAACATGTGGACCTAGAAATTTTATATTCCAATTAATTTATACAAGCACTATATGAGCGAAACATTTTCGATCGGAATTTCATTTTATTCGCGTGGTTAGGCGATATTGTGTATAATTTGCTATCTTTGCCAAGCAGGGTTTCAAAGCTTCGCGTAAAATTTCAGTTTACATTTTTGTCGACAACTCTTCGTTGCCAACCGTAAGAAGTATAGAAGAAGCCATTCACGTTTCCGATCCTGTGTTTATAGTGATAACAGAACCACGAAATTACCGTTCGCAAATCCCCCTCGGTACATCTTTTTAAGATTGAAAATCTTTTTAAGATTGAAAATCTTTTTATTTTCGAACAGCCGGAATTCATGTCACGTTACATGGTGAAAAATGCTGTGAGGCGATGAAATTGGTGGGTAGTAACAGAATAAATATGTCCCGTTACATAACTTGTCGTGAGATATTTTTTTATATTTTAATATCTTGTGATTAGAACAATTAAAACATAATCCGAAATAATTAAACGTTTATGATACATACGGTATCATTCAGTGTTCAATTAAATATTAATAACAATTACGGTTAGGAATAAATATTCATTCGAGACATTAATCACCAACTAAATATTAATTTCTGACAATAGTTAAATTAATTATTAACAATACTTATTATTTAAACAATGATGGGAAATATGATTAGGGTGTGGTATCAATGTTTCGTAAATTCTTTTGTTGATGGATCAAACGAGCCTTCGAATCGACATGTCACGACATGTCACGCGGTTGTTGTTCGCCCTTCCCCTTCTCTACCTCGAGACGCACGTGCGAACCGCGACCCTTGACACAGGTATACGAGGGGTGAGAGCTCATTCTTCGTTGATCCTTCGTTCGATATGGATCTCGCGATCGCGCGTCCGCGTCTCGCGTCCCTCCTATTTGTAGTTTCCCTTAGTATCTTAATTTGGTTTTCGGTAGTTTTAAGGTTGCGTGTACGAGTGTCTCCTCTACCAAATAATTATTAATCAACTTGTTTTGTTTTTTCGTAAGTCCATATTGGGCTCGTAACATCGTGCTCTACTTCGGTCACTATTGCTTCATGTGATAAGTGTAGTGATCAACCATGTGACTGGCCGAGATCGGTTGCCGTCCTCTAGTGGGTCTGATTTGAGAGAGGGTCAATCGACGCCTCCGAGGAATCTTCTAGTCTCTGTACGCGTCAGGCGAAGTCCAGGCGCCCGGCGCAGCGCAGCTCAAAAGAGTCGTCAGACGGATGCAAGTCGTGTCCTGGACTCCTGACGTTGTGCAGAGAGTAGAACTCCGTTTCGGGACTCTACGACCGTCAGACATAGCTGGTGTCGCCAGGGCAGGGCACCCCGACGCGGTGCTACCTACGTCGTACACTGTCAGGTTGGGACCTGGGCCCTCGGCAGCAGGTATGCAGGGAGTAGAGTACTGGCGGAGACGTTGATCGTCTTTCTCTCGAATCAGACCCACCAAAGGAAACGGGACTGACTCTGTAAGTCCAGTTACATGGTCGCGTCGTGTCGCGATTTAGCTTCACTCCTCTATAGTTCAAATAATTATTTGGCAGAGTCAGACTTGGACTTTGAAAATCAAAGGGACTTTGTTTTCTTTGATTTCCACGGTTTCGTACTTAGTATTAAGCTCGTCAATTCTATGTAGAGTATGCATCTACGTATGTATACTCTATGTAGAGGGAGATCGAAGGAACTTTGATTCCTTCTATCTCCGGGTCTCCAGTCGCAGCAACCTCCACGTGGTGAGACCTGGTAATCGGTATTATTCGTGGCGAACAATCATTCGTCGCGAATAATACCGAGAACTAATGGCTGCGAACTTGTAATAAGATCTTTAGATATAAAATGTGCAAAGTGTAAAGTGCAAACGTGTAAAGTGGAAAGTGGAAAAGTGGAAAGTGCAAAAGTGCAAAAGCGTAAAGTGTGATTTTTAAAGTATACAGTGTAAAGTGTAAAGTGTAAAGTGTACAGTGAAATTAGATTTAGATTAGTAGGGACAATATTCAGGAGCCGTAGCTGGTATTAGTGGTCCGCAGTGGGGATGGTTTCTGTGCATTTATCGTTATAAAAATTTGTGCGTAAAAGATTTTACTGCAGTAATAAAAAAATGTTCCGTTACAATTGGGTCTTAGTGCGTCACGAAGCAATGAATGAGTTTTCTGATGATAATAAAAATGTCCTGTCCGCGGAAAATCATTAAGCATGGTACAGCAGGTGGCGGTTCGCGATCAGTTAGTTTAGTTAGTTAGATTTTCAATCTCTCCAATTCTTACGTGTTTGCGAAGTCTACATTTTTCACAGTCTATTTCCCAAATAGCATTTGCGGTAATTAATCTTTTCATTTCATACCGCTACAGTTACCCAATTAAAATCGCACACACTTCAAGCGCGCTTTCATTTCAATTACAGTTGGGTAAGCGATCGCTTACGACGTTAAGTAGGTACACAAATTCTTTCGAGCGATAGCATCGAAATTGTTGTATAGTTTATCGTCGTTTTTTGTACGGGTTGTTGACTCTTGAACGATATTTTATATTTCACGTCGCGCAATGACGAATGTAACAATTTATTCTGCAGATAGGACGGGCAAGTTTTACATGAAATGAATTGAAATTAAATTAAGGGAAAGTAGCCTTTACATTATTTCATTTCTCTTGTTATTTGAATTTATTTGATTTACTTGTAACGAGAGATGTTTTATACGCGATGTTCCGCTACTTGCAACAATATTTTAAACGCACTTTAAAGTGTTCACTATTAATTAGTATTAATTGGTCAAGGTATAAAATTATTCATTATTTCGAAAGAAAAGATATTATTTCCGCTTAAAAATTAGCTCTGCAGTTGGTCCTCCTCCATTTTAAATTACTAATCGATCCCAGTTTAACATTCCGGTTGTATCAATGATAACAAACGAAGTTCGCGGTGGATATCTGACAGTTACGTCATAAATTCAACCTTTAACGTTCGCGGTCGAGGTCCTGAACGATTAATAGTCGGGCTGAAAGTCAGCAATCCATTTCGCGGTTTCACGCATCGCGGCCACCGCGGTGTTTCCTCGTGTTATCTTGCGCTTCTTGCCTGTCTGCTTGCTTCTTCCTTCACCTAGTTTAGACGAAGTCGAATCGTGGCGAGTACGGTTAATTGGCGGGTGGAAAAAAAAAAGCGTATCAAAAAGCTTGTGGAGAAAATTGCTCCACGGCGGCATGGATACACAGTTACACAGGATAAGACAAAACAGAAATTACGAAAGAAGCAGTTAACTCTCAGCTTTTTAAAATTCTGTTCGAATTTATAATTTCTTTCAGCCTAGAATTTATATTTCGTTTCTCGCCACATTTGACAAACAAAATCGAACGCTTCCTCGATTCGATTCGAACGATCGACGCCGACGGTCCCGTAAT